AAGAAAAAAAAAATGCTTCTCAAATGTTTGGGGGGCATTTGCATAAGTCAGTTATGTACTAGGGAATTAAAAATTCCTCACTCTCCCCACACACAAACATATAAGCCATACTCATGTACCATTATAGACAGCAAAAATAAGCAAACATGGATGAGACTAATAGCAAGACATAGGTATGGATGACAGGTATATGATACACAGATACTTGAATAAAGCACCTGGGTAAAGAAGAAATAAAAATGAATATATTTGAATGTACAGTTATAAAAGACAATGAAATCACTGCATGGGGATTCCTATGGGTACAGACAAATAATGGTATTTGGAGAAAATGTATAGCTTTCAATGCATTCATTAGATATTATCTAGAAAATAAAAACCAATAAAATTTAATAAATTTAACATTGGATTGAAGAAACTAGAAAAAGAAAAAATATTTACCAAAGGAATACAGGATGAAAGAAACAATCAAAATACTATTAGCCACTAATGAAATAGAAAATTCACAAACACGAAAAATAAACTAGATAAAGTCAAACAGGAAGGCAGTTCTTAAAAATAATAAGACAAACCTCTGGCAAGTCTTGAGAAATAAAATTCAACCGGACATGAACACAAAAGAAAAGTGACATATAGAATTCTACCTGTGCCTGCCTGCCCAGGGAGCAAGCCAGAGCTTCATGCAGTCTTGGGGGGGCGGACCCAGCACCACTGACCCCTACCAGCTGCCCCACCCACCCACCCCACTGAGTTACTCAGCCCCACCTAGACCCCACCCTCAGCCTCCGAGAGCACCACCTGGCAATGCCCAAAGCAGGGTGGGAGAGGACTCAGACCCAGGAGCACAGACACAAAAGCAAGTAATGGGGAGAAGGAAAAATACAAATGCCCATGCAAGTCCTCAGGAGAACCATGCGACAGACAGAACAAATCTCCCGAGCCCAAGCACCAAGACGGGGAAGAGCTGTTTTCCTATCAAATAGAGAGTTCAAGATTGCCACGATAAAGTTCAGAGAAATGGAAAAATACAAACAAACCACAGAAAACTAGATTAGAGATATGCAAAACTCAGAAAGCAAATAAACAGTCTGGGAAACATAATCAGCAAGCTGAAGACTGACACCAAAACTTTAAATAAGAAACTAAGGGCCTCCCTGGTGGCGCAAGGAGTTAATAAGCACCACAATATGAAGCTGTCCGCAGCCTCTGCAACTCGAGTTCGCGCCCTGGCCAGGGAGCAACCCACATAGCACAACAGACCTCTCCTGACTCGCCCACTGCTCCCCTCAGCAGTGGATTTCAGTCAATCTGCCTGTTCTGTTCCCCATTCTGTCTCTGGTGGATCAGCTCACCCCCACATCTCTGGCCTGTACCCCAGCTCTTGTATGCATAAATAAATCTTTTTAAAAAATAAGAAAATAACGGCATTGCAGAATGTAAATGGCGCCCACAAAAGACACCTGGTAGGAGGCAGAATGGGCGAAAGACTGAATCAGCGAACCTGAGCTGTGGATGGGGAAAGAACCCAGAGAGAAAAAGAAAGAGGAATGAAGTTAAAAAAAAAAAAAAAATGAAGCAACATTCCAAGAACTGTCTGGCTCCGCGAGGAAAGGAAAGTGAAGACTCACAGGTGGAAACAACGGCCCGGGAATGTCACACAACTCCTCGTCCTCAATCATCTGCGTCTTACTTTGAAAACCACATGTCCTGTAACACTTGCCATAGACTTCTCTAGGACAATGTACAAGAAAATTCTGCTAATATTATTCTTGGTGATGACTATAAAATTAAGGATACGATCAATAACCTTAATACTATTTCCTCCATCCAGCTGTGTTCAATGAAGAAATATTTGCCTGTGTGGAAAGCCCTGTCTCCCCTCAGCAGTGGACTTCGGTTGATCTGCCTGTTCTGCTCCCCACTCTGTCTCTGGTGAATCCTCTCTCTCTCTCTCTCTCTCTCTCTCTCTCTCTCTCTCTCACACACACACACACACACACACACACACACACACACACACAGACCTCTGGCCTACACCCCATCTCTTCTATGTAAAAATAAATAAAATCTGAAAAATTCTCATTCACTTCTGGAAGGAATGCAAAATGGTACATCCACCTTGAACAACAGTATGTCCTTTTCTTAAGAAACTGAACACAGTCTCCCCATAAGATCCAGCAAGCATACGCCTATGGATTTATTTACCCGCCTCATTAAGAAACCTGCGCCTGAATGTTTCTAACAGCAGGCTGACAGCTCCAGCAACGGGAAGCAAACAAGATGGCCTTCAGGAGATGAATGGACAAAGCGTGCAAGCCTTGCAATGGAGAGCTACTCGTCAGTTAAAAAATGATCCATGATGTGTGGAAAGACAGGGATGAATCTTAAACGCATATCACTAAGTTAATGAAGACAGCTGGAGAAGGTTAGAGAGGGTATGATTCCCTCTTATGACATTCTGGAAAGGGGAGATCACGGACAGGGCAGACATAGGAAAAGTTGAAATACTTTAAGTGTAGGGGATTTATTAGCGCAGTGAGGCCACGCTGGATGACGCTGATGGTGTGAACATGCCAGCTTTTGTCAGAGAAAAGGAACTTGAAAGCACAAAGAGTAAATCTTAATGTATGAAAAGGTGAAAATAATTAATTTAGGAGGCCAAGAAATGGCATGATGGAATGCAGCGTGTGGCAGCATATTCCAGCTGCACTGAAGTGATTAAAAACCTCCCTGAAAGGTAGGAGGGGGAATTTGTGGCTCTAAGTAACTTGGGAAATAAACGTAAGACTGAAGTCAGAAAGAATCACGCACAGGTGCTGTACACTAGTGGGCACAGCTGTCTCTCACAAGTCCAGGCCGGCCACTCTGAAGCCACCATACATGTTGCACATGTCAGTATTTATAGGTATGTGATGCACGCAGGTTAAGAGGCACATCTCATTGGCCCATAAGTAACCGACAAGTGGTCTGGAAGTAACAACCCAGCAGCAACGAGCACTGCAGTCCAGGTCGCTGCAAACCATCATCCAATAAAAGGAATGAGGGGTCCCTGGAGAAATGGCTGATTCTAGGACCAAGGCAGGAAATACAGGAAATGAGCCGGAGGTACCTTGTGGCATCAGGAAGGGAGCGTTGAAGAGCGTGCTAAGGGACACCACAAGCGTTGCCTTCAACAAAACCAATGCTATGGGCAACTGGAGAGGACGCAAATTTGAGGCATTTATTTTTTCAAAAAAAAAATGCAAGGAAAAAGAGCTAATGGGAGGAGTTATAGATGAAAAAAAAAAAAGACTTAAGGTACATCGAAGGCAATTGCGGTGATTAACTCCTATTTGAACACAGATTCAAAGACAGTGAATTCTTAAAGATTTGTATTGAAGTAACACTGGCTTCCAACATTCTGTAAGTTTCACACTTGTCTATCCTACACCTTGGTCACCACCAGGACACTCGCTCCATCCACCACCTTCCAATGGAGCCCCCAGACCCATTTTACCTGACCCAGTGGTCACCCCTATTCTGTTCTCATACTATAAAGAAACAAAGCAAGCAAAACAAAAGCAAAGAAACGTTTTTTTAAAAGTATACGTCTGCCAGGTAAACATTAAAAAAAGCTGGGCATTTGATTATAACTTAAACGTTTAGTAAAGATAATTACTTTGGATTTATATTTCATAAAATGGTCCTGAGCTTTTATAAATGCTTATGAAATATTTAGAAATAGAAGGGTACGTTGTGTTGGACATGCTCCAAATTATTCCAGTGGGAGAGATGGGGGAAGATGAGGGTAAAACAGGAACCAGATTGTATTGAAAATTGTTGCTGCCATGTATCAGGGACACTGGGCTCATTATACTATTCTCTTCATTGTTGTAGATGTTTGATAATTACTGTAATAAAACATTTTATTGTATATATCACGCTGTTAAATCTGAACCCAAATTAATTTGACCACTTAAAAGTTTAATCAAATAAACCAAAACTATTCAAAACACAAACCACCATCAAAGCAGTTTTGGAGACCAGTTCTACCAAGGAGTCCAGAAAAAACAAATTACCATCTTATATTAACTCTTCCAAAGCGTACACACAAAATAGACAACGATTCCACCCATTCTTCCAGGCCGGTGCCTGGTGAAGATCCCCAAGGGCCTGTGATGGAACACAGGATGAGACCCCTCCCGGCCCCCCCCAAAAGATCACTTGCCCCCCACCCCCACCCCGGACTCCCTCACATACTAGCAAATATTCTAAATAATAGCATAGTCAGTATAGCAGTGAATTAAGTGAACAAGCTGTGGACGAAGAATAAAAATATGTGCTTCATTAGGAAATACTTTCAATTATAATTTCCCAGACAAATTAGAGGAGAAAAAACACTTCACATTAATGGATACACAACAAGCTCTTGAAAAAGAATCAACCTAAGATTTGGTAAAAGAATAGTAAAGTAACACTAGGCCAGAACTTCAATTTCCTGACGTCTACAGCAAGCACTTTTAGATGTGAAATGTCAGGAGAATTTCCTTTAAAGCCAGGGGGTAGACAACACAAAAACACCTGTGGTCTCGCCTCTACTGGGCAAAACTGCACTCGAACCCAGAGCGCCACGGATAGCAACGTAAGACACGGATATGGCAAAGACAGATAACATCAGGCAGCAGCACTATTATCTATAAAATATCCATAAAATATCCAATATTATCTGTTTCAAAGGAATGGGTATGTGGAATATTCTAATGAGTGAGACCCTTGCCACATAAAAGCAATCATTAGAACATTTAATGGAAAATACCCCATTCACAATAGCAACAAAGTCCAGAAACTACCTTGATAGAAGACTAACAAGAATGTACAAGATTCTAACTGAGGCAAATGTGAAAGTTTGCGGACAGAGTTTCCTGAAAGTCCCCAACAGAGCAGTAAAACATATTCATTAACAGAAAACAGGATATGATCAATGTAGGAAGTCTCCTTAAATTAGAGATTTGGTGCCTTACCTGTGAGATGCTGAGATGACCATCAGGTTCAGACTGCTGGCTTCCGCTTGCAAAATCCACTCGCAGTCACTGCAGGAGGGAAATCGGTGACAAATCTCAAGGGAACATGGAGCCCCCGAAGGCGTCTGGTGGCGCTAGTGCGTGGGGAGGGGAGTGGGAGCAGAGGGCAGGTGGGGGCCTGGCGGCTGCAGGGAGACGGGTGACAAGATGGGCAAAAGGAAAGTTTTTTAAAGTTCTGCCCAACTTGACTGCACAGATGGAGGCGGCCCGCAGACCTCAGGGCCGGGGCCGGGTGACGCTGGGACGGGGGAAGATGGCGCTGTGGCAGCATCTGGCCTGGAGTTCGTGCTAATGACCACCTGAAACCACTTTTGGGTATTAACATCAAAAAGCAAATGCAGAACAGCCTTGAACAGTCTGAAAGCAGAGAAAACCACTTTAGTCACACAAACAAAGAGTAATTTAGCTTATTTTGCAAGACTAACTTGACCTGGGTCATCTCTTGCTAATGCGTTTTGCTTAGGATTTCATAAGCAAAGCAAATTGCTTCCCAAAGTTAATAGGAAGTAACCACTAATCAATTTCCTATGATTTAAGAAAGTTCTAATCTTATAACCAATCACTGTGAGGAAGAAACAGTCACTGCCAGGATCCTTGTTGTAAGCTGCTTTACAGCAACGTACCCCTGAGCCTCACTCCAGGATTTGGTGGGGGTCTCCCCAGTTGGTGTGTGCACAATAAGCTTCTAATTTCTACTTTGATGCCTCGTTGGTTTTACATCTATTATTTATGACCTGTTTACACATCATGGCAGCTTAAGTGGAATCTGGTGAAGATCTCCAACGGCCTGTGAGCAAATAGGCCAGTGAGCAAACAGGGCTGGACTCAGAGTCCACTGGCTGCAGTTGGCGGGTAAATCTCTCTTGGATCCAAACCCTGTTCTGACTTTCTTGCTGTGTGCCTGTTTCGCTTGTTGAAGTTTCTTGGTAAGCCACCCGACTCTGCTCAAAAGCGGGAAGACATGTGACTCCTGTTAAAAAACAGGGCCCTCACAGTTAAGACCAAATGAGCTCCACCTGGCTTAAAGCACGTTCTCACCTCCCTCAAAAGCTCCTGCTGCTCGCTGGCGTGCCCGCCGTCCTCCAGAGTTCTGTGCCTTTGTAGAAAATGGGTGAGCTCTGGGATAACAGGGAGTCACAGAGGCCACTCCGAGGAACCTCTCAAGGCTCCTTGTCTAGAGCAGACCTCAAACCTCTCAGACACGATGGGATGTGGCCTCTGATTGCTCTGCAAAAGCTTTAACGGGCAAAACGACTCCAAACAAGGCTCTAGAAGGGAAGGATCCTTACAGCATGTAAATACTTTCGTTAAGAAACTTGGTTGTCTCTATCAAAAGGACATTTTTAAAAGAATATTGGTCTGTTCTTAACAAGAAACTAGGAACAAAAGTTTTAAATTTACCTTTAATGTAACCTAATTTGGAAACAAGATTCTGGAGCTTAACAAAAATTTTTCCTGTTCTTTACATTGTGTCAGTCACATCTTCGATTACTTCAAAAAAAAAAATGAAGTCTCCTTTATTAAAAGAGCTGTTTGTTTCTTATAAGCATGTAACTGTATTTGCCTCTGAAACCTTTTAATTTATGGTTTTAAAATGCATTTCTTTTAATTTATGGCTGAATGGATAACTAAGAAGGATTTCACAGTGAACTGTGTCCTATTTCAACAAGTGGTTTAAACCTTTTGATATTTTGGACAAACTTCCCCCAAATTGAATTTTGAATGAAGTTTTGTTTTCTGACCTCTGAACTAACTTTGGGAGTTTTCCAGAGGGTCCCTGAATGTCTCAAAAGATTTGTTCTCCTTATAAAATAGAGCCGTTAAACTTATCAGGCATATTTGATATATTACATTATATGGAAAGCACTGTTAAAGAAGAACAGATGCTAAACTTTCTTTAGGCTCTATTTTTATAAAATGTTAATGTGTTCCAAAAATTGTGTGAAGTTCCCAAAAATCTGATATGTTTTCGTATCATTATTAGTCATAATTCTAGTTGTTTTAAAATGTATGCACAGAAATAACCAAATTTCTTTATCACTTGCATTATGGTAAACTTGCCGGATCTTTAACCATGGCCATTTTTAAGTCTCTTGTCATTTACAGTTATTATTTTACTGTGATGCTTTTGCAAAAGTGTTTCTGAAAAGTACTTCATCTTCAAATAGATTCCTGGGAAAGATTTTGACAAATATATTTGATAACTTTAAGACTATAACACTGAACTGGGTTAAGAATTTCTAAAACTTTAAAGGAAAACTAATTCATAAAGCTGCTCGCCCAAGATGAAGCAAAACAAGGATTAATTACAGGGGGTTCAATGAACTAATGAAGAGAATAATTTATGACTTCATTGTAAATACTACTGTTAATGTTTTGTTTTCCAAATTTAAAGGACCTTTTTTCTCTCTTTTCAGCTTTCTATAATTTATAATAATTTGGTAAGGTGTACTCTGGTAAACAAAAATTGAAAAAACATTTATCTTTTTCTCTCTTCCTGATCCTGTTGTCTTTGGGGTTTAATCTACCTGTAAATTTCAGAGACGTCACCGCACGTCGTGTATACACAGCTGCTGCTTCGTGGGCCACTCAGGAAGTTCAAAGAACACCTGCTGACATCAAGACAGTCAAACTGCAACCCAGGAAAACCCATCAGACTGTAACTGCCATCCTTACCCACCATCTGGAGATGCTTCAAACTCAAATCTAGAACTCTTCCTGAATGGCTGCTTTCCATTCAGCTGAATGTAAAAACTGAATTTATAATCTGTCAAACTACTAGCCTTTGATTTCCTTTTGTTCCCACAGAAATACCTCTTGTTAAGTTACATGATTGCTCACAACATAAAAAGGCCTAAATTAGGTGGAAACTCACCTCCTCCAGAAATAAAACATCCTCAACGTTCATCCTGTTCCGAGTAATCATGGGGATATGTGATTAATAACACAATGTGTGGTGCCTATGTAAATAACTCAGAAAAGAACTGTTTTCAAACTTCAATTATACATTATCCAATACAAAAAATAACTTAGGAAGGTAAAAGCTGAATCTGATTATAGCTCAAATGAGCTATTTCATCAGTTAAATCATGGTTCTTGGGAAGCTCAGCTTCAAGACATTTTTCAGTCCCCAACTAGTGTTCGTCTTCTACTCATCATCTGAAGCTCTGTGATGTGTTCTCTCTTCCTAAGGACTTCCAGCCATTGTAGGCAGTCACTCCCACCAAGTGGCGTCCATCAGGACCTGATGGCTGCATGGAATCAACAATAACCATAGAAATGACAATGGCACTGCCTGGCCCTTCCGGCTGATGACTCAGGGAGAGGAACCGACGGATTGATTCCTTGACGTGACCATTAACCTGCAGCCAAGAATGAATGCTTGTAGGGTAAGGAAAAATGTCAGGCTTTTCTGCCCTCCCGCCATCAGGATAGATGATGGATCCTGGCAGTCCTGAATGCATGCCTGATGGCGGCACCTGGACTAGGGTGTGGGCATAGGTAGATGGGATTCACCTGGGCTAAGACTGGCTTTTAAGGGGGGGCATCACGGGGACGCCAGCAGAAGCCGAGAGAGAAGCAAGAGAAGCAGAAGCTGAGAGAAGGCCGGAGAGCCCAGATAGAGTGAAGACTTGCTGGGGGCTGGGAGGCCTGCCAGCCTCCCGGCCCCCCGGCACCCTTACCTGCTGTGTACCAGGTAAATCCCAATAAAAAGACCTGCAAAAAGCCACTAAGGACTCTGACTCCTCCTTTACCCGGTCTGCTGGATCATAGGAAGCCTGCTCAGTGGTCATTCCTGATCCTACAATGCTGCACCACCTGGTCATAGTCTCAGCCTCAGCATATGGCTGAAAGGTGAGAATTTTTAAAATCAAAACCAAAAGATCAGCCTTGAACATTCCCTGAGCAGACTAAACCAGTTCAGCCAGACAAGCAAAGCTTAATTTAGCTTATTTGCAAGACTGTCTTGACCTGGGTCATTTCTTGCCTCTGGAAATCATAAGCAAAACTTAAACTGTTTACCAAAATTGATATGAGGTAACCATAACCAATTTTCTATAATATAAGAGAAGTCTGATAACCAATCACTACGAAGAAGAAATAGTCACTGTCTTCTCACCAGAAGCTGCTTAATATCAACATACCCCGAACCTCATTCCAGGTTCGGTGCAAGTGCTCCTGGTTCGTAAATACTCTGTCTTGTCGGTGTGTGCACAATAAGCTCTTTTACTAATTTAGTGTTTCAGTGACTCATTGGCATTCTTTTATTTCTGAAATTTGGGCAGGTGCCCGAGAGCTGACCTTTCAAAGTATTTGAAGTGGCGCAGCGGTTGAGCACTGGGTTGCGAAGCTGCCTCCGGCCTCTGCCGCGCCGGTTCGATCCCCGGCTGCTCCCCGGCCACCGGCGAGGGTCCCACATGGCGCGCAGACCTCTCCTGCCGCCCGCTGCTCCCCTCAGCAGTGTACGTCGGTCCTTCTGCCTGCTCTGCTCCCCGCTCTGGCTCTGGTGGATTCTCTCACCCTCCCGCGCTTCTGACTGTACCCAGTGCTTGTATAAACAAACAAATAAATAAAACATGCCTCTGTTTAAAAAAAAAAAAAAAGATTAAAAAAATGGAAAATGGTGTGGAAATATCAGGGTGACCCACGCATAGTAAGTGTACGGGTACGTATTCCCTTCATGGACACACACACAGCACACTTAGTAGAGATGTGAAATGCCATTTGTTACTAGCGTGCGGGTTGAGAGAGCAAGCGCCGCTCTCCGTACCGCAGTGTCAGAGCACCTCGAAACAGCAGGGCCTCCCCCGATGCTGCGCTCGGCGTTTTGGAACAATGTTTCCAAGGCCTTGGCGACGGGAAGCGCCGCCTCCAACGGCTGCCGCTCCTCTGCCCTCTGGTCGCGGCTGGCCCGCGTGGCAGCTCCGACTCAAGCGTCCGGGGCCCAGTCCTTCCCCGCCCGGGTGAGTGCGCAGGGCTGGGCGGGAGGCAGCCTGCCGGGCTAAGGCTTACTCAAGGGCCGCCGCCAAGGGAGGGGGCCCCGAGTGAGGGCCAGGGGGGGCGCCGGCCCAGCACACCCCAAGGGCCCAGCTCCGGCCCTGCTTCTGGCCCGGGAGACCCTGAGAGCGCGTCAGCCGAGCGCCCTGTTTCTGCCTGGGGTTTTCCGCCCAGTCGGGCCTAGGCCTCGGGGGTGGGGGTGCTGGGGTGGAGTAGAAAGGCGTCCCGGGGACCTCGGGAGTCGAGGGAAGGAGCCTGTGCCGGCGCAGGCGGGACCCTGGGCCTCAGAACAGAGGGTCCTGAGCACCCCCCCCCCGCCCCCTGGGTCACTCTGGAGGGTCCCGGGAAGACGCGGCCAGAGCCATGGCCGCAGCCGTGGGGGGGCGGGGCCCCCAGGAGGGGACGGCCTGGGCTGGGAGCTGCCGTCACACGGCAGAGGGGCGCCCAGGCCCGCCAGCGGGCGAGGGGAGGCCCGAGGGCCACCGAGCCTCCAGGACGCAGGCCCCGCGCCAGGCCCCGCGCCGCCCCTGCCGTCCGGGCCGGGAAGCCCCGCGCGGCGGCGCGGCCGGATGTCGCCTTCCCTCACTTCCGCCCGCCGGGCCCGGGGGTGCAACGTGGCTGGCTGGCGGCGCCCCCTCTCCGGCCCACGGGGGGCGGAGTCCGGGGCCTGCCCGGCCTGAAGGTAAGAAAGGCGCCTCGGCCGGGACGGAGGGGCTCCTGAGCCCCAGAACAGAGGAGGCCCCTCAGAAGCCCGTCCGACGTAGCTCCCCGAGGGGGGCTCCTCGCCTTTGCGCTCGGGAGGCCGAAGGCGGTGGGGTTTTACTCCGACGGACACGGAGTGAGGCCGGCAGAGGACACTCAGCGGAGGGAGGACACTCAGGAGTCAGGGAGTGGCCCATGAGGGAGGAATTCGCGGGGCTTCTGCTTCAGAAGAAGCGCCTCACAGAAACGGCCCCACTTCCGCCTGCAGCTCGGAGGCGCCAGGCTGCGCTGTCCAGAAGGCGCCCTCCGTTAGGCCGGGAGGGGTGTCTCAGGAGGCGAGAGCCTCGGATGGCTCAGCAAGGGGGCGCGGGCTCCCCAGACCTTGCCACCTGTTACCGCGAGAATCTGAGGGCGGCCGGGGTGACCCTGAACTCCAGAACGCAGCCAGCCCGTCTTCCCCCCGCCCGTGCTATCTGCTTTGGGAGCCCCTGAGCTTGTGTGGCCTGCGGTAACCCTCGCTTCTGTCTCAGGGGCCTCGGGGGCCAGGAGCCTGGTCTGAGGGGCAGCATTAGCCGAACAGAGGGTGGAGTCCAAGATCTTGCCAGAAGCCTGGGTGAGGACCCCGAGAGAGGCTTAAAGGTATCCCCACCCCAGAACACAGAGGGGGACCACCGAAATCCCCTCCTGCCTCTCTGGCAGAGACCCCAGGAAGGACTTTCAGTCCGAGGCACCCCTTCATTTCCTGGGGGGTGTCAGGGAAATCAAGTCTGAGAGGGCCGACTCAGGTCAGCCCAGCGAGGGTTGTGGGCCTTGCCAGGCACCAAGGTGAGCCCCCGGAGGTAAGACTCCACCCCCACCCACCCCAGAGAAATAAACCTTCTGGGCCCTTGTTGGCCCTGTGAGGCTCCAAGGCATGGCCGCCCGCTGTGTTGAGGGCGTTTCCATTTGAGCTTTCTGGGGGGCAGGGCGGGAGGGCCGGGCACCGGCCCAAGAGAGGCAGCTCAGGGCCGCAGAGGGGGAGTCTCGGGACTCGGGGTATGGACGGAGGGGACTCCTCCCGACAGAGCAGCGCAGGCTGAATCCCAACTCCGCTTTGCCACCTCGGTCAGCCACGAGAGGACGCGGAACACGGTGGCAGCGCGCACCCTCCTTCCTCCACTGGTGGTTCATGACGCTTAGATTTTCATGTCAACGAAGGTGGCCCCAGCTCGCCAGAGGGAATTATTTTTGACCCTCTCAGGTAGCAAAGGTGGGACCAAGGGGACGCAACCATTCCAGGACACGTGACCTCCCAGAGTTCAGCCGCATCTTGCTGTCCCCTCTGGGACGCCCTGGGCAGGTGTGACCAGATGTGGGGCCCCCTCACCTCCTGCCGTCTAGTCTCAGGCTGTGCAGTCTTGATCTGAGAGTGTTGCGTCAGGCCAGCGGAGGGCTGGGGCCCAGGCCCTGCCAGGGGAAAGGTGAGAACCCTGAGTGAGCACAGAGAGCAGCACCCGCCCCAGAACAGGGGGACCTCGCAGAGCCTGGCCCATCCCTCCTGTCACCTCTGGAGGCCCAGACATGTGCTTGCTGCCTACATCCCGAGGTGCCTCTTCCTTTCTTCTCCCAGGGGCTCCAGGACCCTGGAGGTGAAGGCCGTGGTCTGAGGCACGCAGCTCAGGTGACAGCAGGTGAAGCCCAGACACCACCGGCGTCAAGGTGAGGTGCCCACCCAAAATGTAGATCTGTGAGTGCCCCCTGCTCAGAACAAAGAGGACCCCACATGTCCAGCCACTCCCCGCCCCACCCTGAGGAGGCGCCATCTCTCATCCTTACTTCTGAGAAGCTTTGGGCTGTTCGGTAGGGCATCGCCCTGTGAGGCCCAAGGGCACCCCTAACAGGAGGCCGTTAAGTCGCCTTTCGGGACCGCCAAGGGAGCACTTCTCAGCCGGGGCTGCTCGTGTCCTCTCTCCCCCAGGCCCGTGGGACCCGTCGGTCCGCACGCCTGCCGGCTGCTCCGAGGCCACACGCGTCGTCATGCCTCGACCTTCGAAGCGACGGCGCTACCTGCTTGAGGAAGAGCAGTCCCAGAGCCAGGCCCAAGGCCTGGGGGGTGTGCAGGCTCCCGAGGCCGAGGAGGAGGAAGCGTCCTCCTCCTCCACCTGCTCCTCCTCGTTCCCGTCCTCCTCCTCTTCCTCGTGCTACCCTCTCTTCTCTAGCACCCCGGAGGAGATGAGTGCTCCTGGGACACCCAGTCCGTCCCAGAGCCCTCGTGGCGCCTGCCCCGCCACTGCCGCCGCGGCCTCTGCTCTGGAGAGCCCAGCCCAGGAGGTGAGCGCCGCCAGCCAAGGGGAGGAGGGTCCCAGCACCTCGGCGCAGGCCATGCAGGCCGCTGCGGCCACTTCCAAGGATGCGGTTGATGATGAGAAGGTGGCTGACCTGGTGCAGTTCCTGCTCCTCAAGTTTCGCACCCAGGAGCCGACCAGCCAGGCCGAGATGCTGAGGGAAATCCTCGGCGGCGACGAGGAGCACTTCCCTGACATCTTCAGCCACGCCTGCGAGTGCATGCAGCTGGTCTTTGGCCTTGACGTAAAGGAAGTGGACCCCCAAGACCACTCCTACGTCCTGGTCAACACCCTCGGCCTCAGCTATGACGCGATGCTGTGTGTTGGGCAGAACGTGCCCAAGACGGGCATCCTGGTTCTTATTTTGAGCATAATCTTCATCAAAGGCAACAGTGCCCCTGAGGAGGAGATCTGGGGAGCCCTGGAGGTGATGGGGGTGTTTGCCGGGGTGGAGCACTTCATCTTTGGGGAACCCAGGGAGCTCCTCACCGAAGTGTGGGTGCAGGAGCAGTACCTGGAGTACCGGCAGGTGCCCGGCAGTGATCCCGCCCGCTACGAGTTCCTGTGGGGCCCCAGGGCTCACACGGAGACCACCAAGATGAAAGTCTTGGAGTTTTTAGCCAGAGTCGATGGGAGTGACCCCATATCCTTCCCACTGTGGTATGAGGAGGCTTTGAGAGATCAGGTAGTGCAAGCTCAGACCAGCATCACCAGCTCCCCAGATGACCCCGCTGGCATGGCTGGCGTGAGTTCCAGTGCTAGGGCAAGTTCCAGTGCCAGTGCCATTTCCAGTGCCGGGACCAGTTCTAGTGTCGGGGCAAGTCCCAGTGCCAGTCCCAGTGCCAGCGCCAGTCCCAGTGCCAGGGTGAGTTCCAGTGCCGGGGCCAGTTCCAGTGTTGGCGTTAGTTCCAGTGCTGGGGCCATTGCCAGTGCCCGGGCCAGTCCCGGCACCAGTCCCAGTGCCGGCGTCAGTTCCAGTGCCGGGGTCAGTCTCAGTGCCGGGGCCAGTCCCAGTGCCGGTGCCAGTCCCAGTGTTGGGGCCAGTTCCAGTGCTAGGGTGAGTTCCAGTGCTGGCGCCATATCCAGTGCTGGCGCCATATCCAGTGCTGGGGCCAGTTCTAGTGTTGGCGTGAGTTCCAGTGCAGGAGCCAGTTCCAGTGTTGGCGTGAGTTCCAGTGCCGGGGCCATTTCCAGTGCTGGGACCAGTCCCAGTGCCGGCGCCAGTTCCAGTGCTGGGGTGAGTTCCAGTGCTGGCGCCATTTCCAGTGCCGGGGCCAGTTCCAGTGTTGGCGTGAGTTCCAGTGCCGAGGCCATTCCCAGTGCCAGGGCCAGTCCCAGTGCCATGGCCAGTTCCAGTGCAAGGGCGAGTTCCAGCACTGGCACCATATCCAGTGCTGAGGCCAGCTCCAGTGTTGTGAGTTCCAGTGTCAGTTCCAGTGCTGGCACCAGTCCCAGTTTTGGCGTGAGTTCCAGTGCTGGCGCCAGTTCCATTGCCAGGGCCAGTTCCAGTGCCGGGTCCAGTTCCAGTGCTGGCGCCAGTCCCAGTGCCGGGGCCAGTGGCTTCTGGCCCGAGTGAGTGGGGAGCAGGTCCTCCATGGTGTGGCCCAACTCGGCCAGAGGGTCAGCGAGGCTGAGCCATGGGGAAGCATCTTGGGGTTCCTGTTCCATAGGGGTGACTAAGAAATTTATCTTGAGGTTATTTTGTTCTGTATTTTAAAATGTTACTTTAGCTAGAAAGCTGACTGGCTTCCGAACCTGCATTTATGAGTGACATTGGTCACGCGTTTGTTGCTGCTAATAGAGTTTCAGAGTTTCGCTGTTTTGTAAAACAAATCGGGAAACCTTCCATTTTATCTGTAGTCTGTGACAAAATAACAAGGCCTTGGAATAGTCATTTCCTGGAGATGTGGACGATTTAGCTGTCATGGATGGGGTCTAGAAATAGAGGAATAAAACAGAAGAGAGTTAGTTCTTGGTCTCTTTCCTTTATGTTGTTCTGTAAAAGTAAAGAGCACATGTGTCTGTGCTTTGCTCGGGTCATTCAAGAGGGAGAGATGAACGTGGTAAAGAAGCCCCTGCTTGTGGCCAGCCCTGCCCATGCCAGCCCCGAGCCTCTGCTCCTTGGAAGCACTAGGAACGTGGAAGGTCCCAGGGCGACACAAGGACAGAAAATGCACCCCACCCCACAGAGGGCAGGTGTGGGAGCCACAGACATAGGCGCAAGATGGTGAGACGTCCCCCAAGAGATAGAGTCAGGGCCTCCCCTGGTGGCGCAGTGGTTGAGTGCTGGCCACCGGCGAGGGTCCCACATGACGCGACAGACCTCTCCTGCCGTGCCCACTGCTCCCCTCAGCAGTGTATTTCGTCAGTCTGCCTGTTCTGTTCCCTGCTCTGGCTCTGGTGAATCCTTTCACCCTCCCGCTCTTCTGACTGTACCCAGTGCTTGTATAAATAAATAAATAAATAAATAAATAAATAAATAAATAAATAAATAAATAAATCTTTTAAAATAAATAAATAAATCTTTAAAAAGAGAGACAGTCAGGAGGGCAGGGGCGGGGCCCTGGGGGAGAGAAGTCAGGGTAAAGGCCCCTCCCGGGGCAGCTTGGGGCCTTGGGGCCTGCAGTCCTCTGGCGGGTGACTGCCCTCATGTGGGGTGACTGCCGCCATGTGGGGGGAGGGGGAGGCTCTCAGATGCCGTGTCTTAGAGATGGAGCAAAACCTCCACAGAAAATCTCGGGCAGCTGCTTTAGGGCGGCGGGGGAATCTGCAGGCGGGGCGGGCCGTGACCGGGCCCCGCACCCTGGTCCAGAGGCGCTGCACAGCCCAGGAGCCCGGTGCTGTGACCCGTCCCCTGCCCGGGCTTCCTGAGAAACGGGGAATCGCCATGAGGGAGGCCCAGAAGTCACAGCCACGCACCCTTCCCCGGGCCTGGGAGAGCCGGAGCTGACGCCACAGCAGCGCGTGTTGAGTTGGTCCCCGGCATGTGATTTAGCTAACGCTAAGCAGTGCTCAGAGGGGGTTGGGGGGGGGGTGTGTGAAGGAAAGTGGTGGTTTGGGTGGAAGAGCAGCTGGGAGTGAGGGAGCTGGTCCTGGACTCAAGTTCTAGGACATGCATCCAGCGAGGGAATGTGCCCCATCTCCCCACTAAGTCTCCAGCCTGTCAGAGGGAGAATTTTCTGCGTGTTATGGATGAGCTTACCATGAGTAGTCAAGGTCTATGTCTTCCTCCTAAGTGATAGATGAGGAATGACCAGGGACATTACCAGAGAGCAAACATCTCCAGAGGCTGTATTCCCCCAAACATGCATCGCCCATGAGGTGAAAATGGTTTCTTGGTAGATGGTGTTCACTCTAATTAAAAACAAAAAAAGAATTACCCAGCATTTTACTGTTTTTTGTCTATGTACCTACCCCATAGCAAAAATGACCATCCTGAGCATGCCTAACAACACCTGTACGTCACATGCAGGTGCGTTCAGTCACATGGGCAGCTCACAGGCTCATGCAGGTGCTCTCAAAGGGACGTACAGAGCAGGCTACTGAGTGAAGGTGGAAAGCCTCTGCTGGGGTATCTTAGAGGATCCCTTGAAAATTACATGTGATTGTGTGTTTGAAAGCACCTATCACATAGTAGGTGTCTGAATCAGAAGAAAGTTGGAGAATAGAAGGCAGATTTGGCCCTCTCTGAAATTCCTCCAGGAAAGGAAGGTTGTTGTCCTAACAAATTGTAATTGCTTTTTGTGGCGCGCTACTATCTTGAGTATATGGGAGAGAGCTCATGCTCTGACACGTGTCTTGTATTTCTCCCCTTTTGTGGGCACGTGGAAAGACTACATGTCACCCCCCCCCCGGCAATTAGGAAAGGTCGTGTGACGACCCCTTGTCACCGAGACATGGGCAGAAGCACACACTTGTCTGTCAGATCCAGCATTTGAGAGGCTGTATGCCTCTTCTGCGTTCTGGTCCTTGAGTTACCAGCAAACATGGCAACCCGGGTTGAGATGGGACAACTGGGTCACTTGATGACCGAGATTCCCTGCCCAGCTGCGTCAGAATTACACCCCCCACACAAAATGTACGTTGACATTTAAATTTCAGATTTTATCTGTTACATCAGCTTGACTTACAACAACTGGGTTGTTCAAGCATATTTAACTACTTGAGTGACAGGGATAGTGTGCACAGCACATATATTCTTATTGCCAAAAAAACTTATTTAAAAACCTAAGTAATTTCCCTCTTATTAAATTTCCTCCAAAGTTTCAGCTCCTACTCAGAGGTAACCACAACTAACATATTAACTTGGTTATTGGATTAAAGTGGAGAAAGGGTGTGAATATTGAAAATTTTTATAAATGTTGCTGAAATTTTATTCCAAAAATGCTGTACCATTTGTATGCTCAAAAATTATTGTTTGTGGCACTCCTTCACGCTCACAAATATTTGGTCATTTAAAAAAATTTGGTCAAAATTAGGGTAAAAATATTATTTCACTGCTGCTTTAATTTGTATCTGCCCTGTTTTCTGATTCGGTTGAGGGAACACCCACTGCGCCCCTCCCCCAGGTGAAGCTGGATTTATGCAGCGATATTCTGAGTAAAAGGATTCCTCTGGGCATGATTTAAAATTCTGAAATTCTGATATGTCAATAAGATCGTTCCCTTTTACTCTGAGAAGCAAGGGTTGGGTCAGGAGCCAGGAAGGGAGAGTGGGCAACCCCCAGCCCCTGAGGGGCATCTGGAGGCTTGAGGGGACAAGCTCTGCCAGAGCCAGACAGGCCAAGTACAAATCCTCTGCGGGAGCCTATTAAAGCTGTGCAGCCTAACCCCCCACCCCGAAACCCCCCTGAAGAGCACACGGGAAGGGGTCCCCATTCGAGCTTCTTACTCAACAGAGAAGGGAGTGGAGAAGAGGAATTTGGAGTGATGTTACCAATGGTCCTCTACTCACACCACGCTCACACCTGCCCGGTGTGAGGACTCACGTGGTCCCTGGGTCCTGGGCACAAAAAGTCCATCAGTTGGCCACATCCACTGGATCTCAGAACAGTCAAACACAGGAAAGCTGCCAGCAACCTCCCAGACTCCTTCCTGTGGACAGTGCTCTGCTGACCTGCGATCTTTCACTCTGCAGCAAGCTTGGGTAGTCTTGGGGGTCATACTACTCATCTCAGCGAACACTGTTCCTCTTCGCCTGATGGCCAGCACATTGAAAACCACATCCTCTGTCTTATTTGCAGCTGACTTAGGCAGGTGTGTAAATCAAGGCCAGAATCCGAAGTCCTATAACCCAAATATAAGCCCTGAATTATTCCATATGACAAATGTCCCGGTACTCCTATTTAGTCAAATTAAAACCAGATTGAGACCATGGAGCACACCTGGATGTTAACACAGACAGACAGACACAAAAGCAACAATGGTTTTCTTTTCTTATGGAAATATGTGATTTTTTTATTCTCTTATTTATGCTTTCGACATTTCTAACACTCCTAAGGCACATAAGAACCATCATTATAATTTATAAATAAGATACTTTAAATATTTTTAAATATGATTTAGACTTCCCAAAACAAACACTCATTCCCTAGTTATTTTGTTTGCAATATTGATCAATCTCAGGCTGGATTCTTTTCAGCCCCTGGCAAGCTTGCTAGTTATGTAATCGGGGAAAAAAAAAACAATGCTGAATTCCAATTAGCAGGTTGTGTGTGTTCACGTACTCTCACAGACTTTCAAATACAATGCCTTACAGGTGCGACTGTATCTTGTTTCCAAAACCATCCCTCCAGTAAAAGCAACATGTTTTATAATATGTTTTATTTATGCATAGAAGAGCTGGGGTGTTAGGTCAGAGGTGGGGGGTGAGAAAATTTCCCAGAGAGAAAGTGGGGAGCAGAACAGGCAGATCTACTGAAATCCATTGCTGAGGAGAGCAGTGGGGAGACAGGAGAGGTCTGCTGCGCCCTGCGGGTCAGCTTCCTGGCCATCTAGGTGATAGAGCTGAGACTTAACTCCTCGGCCCTCAGGGAGGCCCAAAACCAACAAATTTTAAAAGGGAAAATCATATTTATGTTGAAGTTATATTCTCAATGACATGATTGGAGCCAATATTTATAGGAAGGATTGCAGGTAGGCAATATTGGCAGGAAGAAATATGATGATTTTCATTATTCCAAGTGGTATTAATATGCCTCTCGGCAAAGCTTGTTTATCTCTTGTAAAAGCTCATAATAAACACTGTTTTTTAAAAAACTTTTGCAGTCATTAATGCCATTAATTTCCAGTCATGAGTGAAAATGCAATTTTTTTCAAACACTGATTTTCATAAATATGATACAGTATTTTCCTAGCAATGACCCACACTTTCTTTAATGAACTATTAGTCAACACATCCCTTCTCTGTTAACACGTGCTTATCTGTCACAAACTGAACACTGTGTTATTCTTATTTTTCAGGAATTTTCTTACCAATGTATCATCTGTTCTTTGTCCCTTTTGAAACTCATCAATCCCAGAAATTTATCAAGTCATTTTCATCCAAAAATATTTCTATACAATGTCAGTTATCAAATGTATGCACATGTTTATTTATTTTCAATGGAACAGTCTCATAATATTTTTATTTTTCCCTTTTAAAATTATAGGTTCACATTGTCAAAAACCGGATAAAATGGAAAACATAAACACCAATATATTTACCAACACCTTTTTTTACCAACCCTGTTTTATATCTAACCAGTTTTATATTTAACAAATAATTGTTCCCTATTTTTGTATATTATCACTTTTTCCTTAGTATGCATTTGCAGCAACATGGATGGAGCTGGAAGGGATCATGATCAGCGAAATAAGCCAGAAAGAAAAAGAAAAATACCGGATGGTCTCACTCATAGCAGAGATTTAGAAAACCTAAATAAGGGACCAGGAAATTCCTTCATACATATTATCCAGCCTTTCCTGTATTTATAATAAAGTAAAAATCAAAATCAACAAGCAACTATAAACCAGAGACATACTACAGGGGAGGGGGGAAGGGGAAGGACGGAGTAGGATCAAAACAAGGGGGGTGGGAATTTTATGGGAACTATAACCAAGATGAAAATGCATACATACATCATGCAAAAATGAAAAATGATGTAAAAATATCGAAAATAAAATTAAAAAAAAGAACATTTAAAAAAAAGAAAAAAAGGAAGAAGACATTGTATAACCTCCAAATGCTTAGAGATTTTTCCTTTGGTCCTTCTGTTACTTAATTCCTAGTTTGATTATACTATGTTTAGGGAGTAGACTCTGGATAACTTGCGTTTTTCCTAATTTCTCGATGTTGGTTTCTTTACCGAGGGTGTATGTTGGCTCATGTGCCAGATGTGCTTGCAGTGAGTGAATTTTGGGTTCAGTTTTTGTGACGCACCCAGGCTTAATAGGGTT